GCGCTGGACCCCGACAGCGACTCCGACTCTGACGCCGAGGACTCCGACGACAGGCCGGGCCGGCGGCGGGCGGGAATCCACCCCGCCCTGTCAGCCGGGCTTCGGCTGATGCTCTGGCGGCCATCCCGGGGCCCAGGGTCACGACCCAACAGCCGAGGGGCAGAGCGACAAGGAGAGAGGCTCGGGTCCAGTCGTGGCCGGCGCCGGCCCTTCGACGTGGGTCCAGGAGCCATTCCGAATTTGTCGATTCGGATCGATTCGGTTTCGAGGATTCCGATTCCGATCCGATTCGACTCTAGATTCCGATCTGGGTTTGAAGTTTCTTGTGTAGACGTCGGCTTGGGCAGGCGGGCGTCGATTCCGATGCCTCTCGATCTGCTTGCCGAGTTCTGCCGATTCGTTGCAAATCGATCGCCGATTCGATTTCCCGACTCGAGTTTGGTTCATCCTGGAATTCGGCATAGACTGGTTTCGCCGGAGGTTTGCTTCGCAGGACATAAGCGCCGGTCGTTGAAAGTACGCACAGTATTTTGGGATTCCCAGATTCCACACTGCTTTAGGTGCCTTTCTACTTCAAGCATCGAGTGGTTTCACCTTGTCACCTTCCTCTTCAGAGGCGGGTGGAAGCCCAATCTGCTTCAACGCTTTCCTACCTTCAGGCGATCGCAAGCATGGATCAAGGGGGCGTGGATTAGCGACGTGTCCCGCTTCCATGGGAAATCGCGGATTTCCGCCGCCGAACGAGGCGGCACCGGCCGCATTTTGGGCAGGGCACCCTGCCCGATCCATGGATTTGGCGCTCGCGCGCCAAATCCACGGATCGCTAATTCATGTTTGCGCGCCCCCGAGAGGAGGAGGAGGAGGAGGAGGAGGAGGAGGAGGAGGAGGAGGAGGAGGAGGAAGAGGAGGGTGAGGGGAAGAGGAGGAGGAGGAGGGGGAGTCCTATTTCATGTCTCTATCCACTTCTTCCGACCGATGGGTGCTCAGCCAGGGGCTCGCTCCTCGCCAGAGGGCTCGCCTCGCCAGAGGGCTCGCCTCGCCAGAGGGCTCGCCTCGCCGGTGCTCACCTCGGCGGAGGCTCGCTCCAGAAATGCGGGTGCCCCCAGGGATTCGGCCGCCTCCTCCTCTTGATTCTAAGAAGAACAAGAGAAAAAAACAAAACAAAAAAACAGCAACAAAAAAACGCCATAAACATGAACTGTTGGCACTCCGCGCGGATTTCTTGGATCCGCGCTGGGCCCCCCCAGCGGCGCCTCTGGCGCCGCACCTGGCGCGCTCCGCGCGCCAGGGAGGGGGGCCCAGCTCAGATCCAAGAAATCCGCGCGGACCGTCTAAAGTTTATGTTTATGTCGTTTTTGTTCCCCTATGGATGATGCGCTAGCGCACAGCCCCCGCCGCGGATCAAAGAAGGAAAAACGGCATAAGCATGAATTGTCGGAGAGGTCCGCGCGGATGTCCCGTATCGTCGCTGGGCCCCCCTATCTTGGCGCGCGGTGCTCGCCAGGGGCGGCGTTGGAGGCGCCGCCAGGGGGCCAAGCGCCGAGAAATCCGCGCGGAGCTTCAAAAGTGTATGTTTATGACGTTGTTTCGGCCTCTACAGTCGAAACCGATGATGAGGATGGGCAACCTTTCCGAGGGTACCCTTACCCTTGGATCCCTGTCGCCTCGGTCCTCGGTCCACCATTAACCCCTTTCGATGGCCGGCCCCGGTCGAAAAGCTTCGGGATGGGCGTTCAAGGGTCTTGGGAGCCCCCAAACCAGGTGGTGAGATATCAGGTGGTGACCTGGAGTCCCCAGAGGGTCACCGCTGGGTTTTGAAACACGGGGTCACCGCTGGGTTTTGTGACTCCTGGGCCCACCAGCGTGCGGGACATCCTCGAAAAACCTCACGAGTCCCCGAACCGGGTGGTGACACCAAGTCGCCCGAGATTCACCGCCGAGCGTAGTCACCACCACGTGCGGGGGTCTTGCATCCTTGTGCGATCGTTTGTTATTCACTGTTTGGCCGACCGGCGCGGGCCCTCGCACCTCCCCTCCCCCCTCCTGGAGTAGTTCTTGGCTGTTTCTGGCGACTGTTTCGAGCAGGTGGAGCCCCTCCCCCACGGGACGCACTGTCGCAAACAGCCGCACGGAGCAGAGGTCCGGAGCCAGACCCTCCCCCCTCCCCCGCCCTCTTTCCGCCCAATGTCGAAGCGCCGACAAAAAAGAAAAACGCTCCCTGTCACGCATCCTTGCTATCAGTTTGGACTGTCGCTGACGGGCCTCGAGGCGGGCGAGCCAGGCACCAGCCCTGCGGGGTCCACACGGGCGCGCGGCCGGGTGGTATGCTGGCCAGAGAGGGGGGGGGGGAAGGAGGGGCGCCCGGGAGGCGTGTCTGGGATGGCCCCTCTTGAGGGGCAGCGGCTCCCTCCTTCGCCCCTGCCCCCCCTGCCGCAGAAAACCGGCCACGCGCAGGGTGGAGGGGGCAGGGGGAGGGGGGAAGACTGCTCAGAAGCACCCCTGCTTCTCAGGAGGCGCTGGCCTCCTCTGTAGACGTGAGGCCGGGGCCTTCGAAGAAGCAGGGGTGCTTCTGAGAAGGCTTCCCCCCTCCCCCCTGGGGTACAGCGCCGATGCAAGAACTCTGCGCGGACCTTCGGAAGTCTGAGCCGATGATCCTCAGGACGCGTGCTAGCCCAAGGTGTGTCTACCCTCAGCCCAACCAGTAGATCATCATATTGCCCGCGTCGTATCGAAGGGCCTCGATGGACAGACACACGCTGAGGCTAACCCCGAGGCCTTCAAGGCCTATCGACGGGGTCACCTTCAGTACCATCGCTGAGGCGAGCTTCAACTTCGTGTTCTAGCTAACCTCATCACCAAGCATATGATGAGAAGGGTACTCGCCATGCAGCAAGTCACACATCGTGGACGGCTACTGCAACCACGACTTTACTTTACTTTACACGCTGAGGCTAACACACTTTCTGAGGATCATCGACTAAGTTTCCACAGTGTGGTTGTCCTGCTTGCGGCAGCCTCGCGCCGCGCTGACGCGGCGGCGGCCCCAGCGCGGGCGTGTTGTCAAGGCTGGACGCCGCCAGTGGCCGGGCATCGACGGCACGTAAGAGCGACCCCTCGCCGGAGTGACTTTTGGCGCGCGCTCACCTGGGTCTCGGCATCGCTCGGACGTGTGCACGTTTCCTCCGGCGAGGGCCATCGAGGAGCATCCTTGCTCATTTGGCGAGAAAACCACGCACAAAAACAGACACAAAAAAAACACAGGGAATCGACGTCCGAGCGATGGCCAGGGGTTCCCCCGGTCGCTGAGCGCAGTGCGATAGTGGCTGCCTGCGCGCTCGGACTTGGCCACCTTGCGCCCCCTCAGCCTGCGCACCACAGGTCACTCGTGCCTAGGGTCACTCGTGCCTGCAGCCGAAGGGATCGGGCGGTATATCGGGCAAGTTGTGGCGTCGGGAGGTGGCACTCGTACCAGGCCGCGCGGCCCGCGCGGCGCCAGAAGCCAGCGCCAACGCCGACGTCAGCTCGACGCCACTGTGCCGTTCAGGCGGGCATGCACCCCTGCAGGAGGAATATTCCAAAATAGTCAAAAAATAGTCGAGGGTCCAATGTTTCGACTATTTTTTGAATTTCTTATTTTTGAATAGTTTTAAATTTTCCTCCAACCACAATCTGCCTGCAGGAGGACATGCCCGACCTGACTGTACCCCGGTTCACGCTATGAGTTCGGGGGAGCCCAGTCCAGACACATCCGGGGACGAAGACCGGGGACGAAGGCCGGCCCAAATTGATCCGGGGACGGAGTTCAAGTTCACGTAAGAATGACCTTTCGCCGGAGTGGCTTTTGGTGCGGGCCCACCGGGGTCCTCCGATCGCCGAACGCCATGCGATAGCGTCCTGCGCGCTTGTGGTTGGTCCCCCCGCGGCCCCCGAAAGCCGCGTACCAAAGGTCACTCTTGCCCAGGGTCCCTCCTGCGTGCAGCCGAGGAGTTGCAGGCGCTCTCGCCCCCGTGTGCCCCCACCCCCCCCCTCGGTTCTCTTGTCTCGCCCCGCGCAGGCCAGAGTACGCCGTGCTGGACATGAACGTGCCGCGGACCGCGCTGGTGGGCGCCCCAGGGGGGCTGGGGGAGGAGGAGGAGGAGGAGGATTGTCACGGCTGTCGTTTAAGGCACGGGCAATGTTTTACCGCTTCGTGCCCTAACAATGGTGGCACGCCATGTTCTGGATGCAACACTTGTGAAGATGCGGCTACTACCACCCCTATGCTGTGCAACACTCGCGCCAATGCCCTCCACTGCGCGGCCTATGACCGCCCATGGCCTACACGCGGGCCCTTTGCACGGTGGCTGGTAAGCCCCCCACCGCCATGCCTGACACTGCCACCTATGCCCCGCGTGCAACTGCGGAGACCCCAGGCCTGCTACGGCCTACTATGGTCTGCGAACTATCAACATGTCAAAGCATGAACCTACCTGACTGTTTGGTATGCCATGCTAGTTCAAGTGGGATGCAACCTGGAATGCACGAGTAAAGTCCCCCACGGCTGCGAAGCAGGATGGTTTACAACCGCCTGGCCTCTTCCCAGAGGAGGGCCACCCCACGACTGTGAAGCACACTTAGCTGCCCCGTGCCAATCCCCGTACTCCCATGGATGCAACACTTGTGAAGATGCGGCTACTACCACGCCTATGCTGTGCAACACTCGCGCCAATGCCCTCCACTGCACGGCCTGTGGCCACCCATGGCCTACACGCGGGCCCTTTGCACGGTGGCTGGTAAGCCCCCCCACCCCCATGCCTGACACTGCCACCTGTGGCCCGCGTGCAACCGCGGAGACCCCAGGCCTGCTACGGCCTAATAAGGTCTGCGAACTATCAACAAGTCAAAGCATGAACCTACCTGGCTACTCCTCCACGACGTGTCTGGGGCACGGGGCCAAAAGCACGAGGAGGAGGAATAGGATGAGGAAGAGGAACAGTAGGATGAGGAGACCAAATAACGCAATACCAGACAAGAGACGCCTCTTCCGTACCAAAACGACCACCCTTCGGGTGATAAGGAGGTTTCGGGGGGGGAGTAACCAACGCGCACGAACACGAAACCGAAACCGGTTTCCCGGTAGGGGGGCTCTCCGTTCCACTTCGATCTCTCCCCCTCACCTCCGATTTACATGGGACATCCTCCAATGCGCGGGGACTGCGTGTCCCATAAAAGGGACTGCGCGTCCCATTTGCCAGGAATGTGTGTCCCATAGCAGGGACTGCGCGTCCCATTTGCCAGGGCTGCGTGTCCCATAACAGGGACTGTGCGTCCCATTTGCCAGGACTGTGTGTCCCATAATCGAGACTGCGCGTCCCATTTGCCAGGAATGTGTGTCCCATAGCAGGGACTGCGCGTCCCATTTGCCAGGACTGCGTGTCCCATAACAGGGACTGTGCGTCCCATTTGCCAGGACTGTGTGTCCCATAATCGAGACTGCGCGTCCCATTTGCCAGGAATGTGTGTCCCATAGCAGGGACTGCGCGTCCCATTTGCCAGGACTGCGTGTCCCATAACAGGGACTGTGCGTCCCATTTGCCAGGACTGTGCGTCCCATAATCGAGACTGCGCGTCCCATTTGCCAGGAATGTGTGTCCCATAGCAGGGACTGCGCGTCCCATTTGCCAGGACTGCGTGTCCCATAACAGGGACTGTGCGTCCCATTTGCCAGGACTGTGCGTCCCATAATCGAGACTGCGCGTCCCATTTCCCATTTGCCAGGAATGTGTGTCCCATAGCAGGGACTGCGCGTCCCATTTGCCAGGACTGTGTCGTCCCATAGGACTCGAGACTGCGCGTCCCATTTGCCAGGATAGTGCGCGTCCCATTTGCCAGGACTGCGTGTCCCATAACAGGGACTGCGCGTCCCATTTGCCAGGACTGTGTGTCCCATAGGGAGGAGGAGGAGGAGGAGGATTGTCTCGGCTGTCGTTTAAGGCACGGGTCAAGTGTTACCGTATCGTGCCCTAACAAAAGGGAACATGACCGTCAACCTAATGAAGCGAAGCGGCGGCGGCAGCGGCCAGCCGCACTGTATATGCCGTACCCCGACCGCTATTACTCGGGTACTATGTAATCTACCTACGGATGCCTACCAGGCGAGACACGGCCCACGACTGTGAAGCCCGTTATATGGAATGCGCCACCGTCCTCCTTCTGGAGGGGGGCCGCTCCACGACTGTGAAGCCCGCTTAACTACCCTACTCTCATCCTCCCTCAACAGGAGGGCCGCCCCACGACGGTGAAGCTTTATTATCGCCAAACTCTTACCTTTGCCCTTCGCTGTCACTTGTCCCCCCACCACTGAGTGGCAATTCATCCCTTCCCCCAGACTTTGAAGCTTGCCCACCCCCCTCTCACAATGAGAGGCAGGCGAGCAACGCCCCACGACTGTGCCCTTTTAACAACCCCACTCTCATCCTCCCTCAAAAGGAGGGCCGCCCCACGACTGTGAAGCCCTAACATTGCCCCTCGCTTATCCCTGTACCTTTACGGTCACGTGTAACCCCGCGACTAGATAGCAATACCTACTCGGCAAACCTCTCCCCTACTACTGCTCTCCATGGGGTCCATGTGAAGCACGGTTATCCCCTTGAAAGCCACCCACCTATTATGGGAGCGGCCGCGGGGGCGAACCTTCCAGTATTAAAATTCGGCACCTACTGCTACAAGAAGGGCCCCACGACTGTGGGGCACCAATAACCCGGACTGCGCCGTGGCCACCTCTCTGTTGGGCGGTGGCCTGCCCCACGACTGTGAAGCCCCCAAAGCGCCAGCCCAGGCCCCAAGGCCGCCCCACGACTGTGAAGCCTCAGGGCCGCCCCAAGACTAATATGAACAATGCAAGGCGAACCTTGCTGTCCCGGCTCTACGGGCTCCTTAATAATCCCCCCCCACGTCCACTAAGTGGTCCTGTCGGCTCCTCACTAGCAGATTCCCAGTCCATGAAGGGTGCTGCGTTAAATTGGGGTGCCAAGGGGGTCACGCTCCCAGCCCCTTAGTCCGAGGGGTCTGGGACGTCCGCGCGCAAGCTTCCCGCGTGCGGGCGCGCGCGGGCGCCCTCTTCTCCGCGCGGCGTGCCGCGCGGGCGGCCCGCCGAAGCCACCACCGTGCGGGGTCGCTGCGCGTCATCTCGGGTACCCATCGGTCGTTGAAAGTAGGTATTTCTGGATTCCCAGATTCCAATCTACTTTCAGCGCCTTCCTACTTCAAGAGTCGAGTGGTTTTCCCTCTTCCTTCCTCTTCAGGAGGCGTGCGGAAACCCAATATATTTCCAACGCCTTCCTACTTCATGTTTCTACCTACTTCTTCCGACCGATGGGTAAGGCCCGCTTCCCTTCGTCGCTCGGGCGTGGACGGCGGGGGGGAGGCACAGCCAGGTTCCGCGCCGCCCAGTTTTCGAGCAGGGGATCGACTGCAGAATCGATGTGCCCCAAAATCGAGCTGTTCGTCGAGCCCACGAGGGAAGACGCAGAATGATCAGTAGATCTACGGAGCACTGTAGATATGTTTCGCAGATTCGACTGGAAATCGATTTAGGGGTAAATCGATTATGTAGTCGATCCCCTACTCGAGATTTTGGGGCCAGAGCAAGGGCTCTCGGAGGATCGCCCCGCACCGCCGATGCACATCGGCGGCGCGGCGCGGCCCGGAGCCCGATGTGTCCCCTACCCCGACGCTGCTGGAGGGGCGTCGCCGCTGCATCGGTGAGGGGACACGGTCCTCCGACACCACTGCTTCGGAGGAGGAGGAGCAGCAGCAGCAGCAGGAGCAGGAGGAGGAGGTCCCACCGCTCGTCTTGGCCTCTTTGATCCCTCGCCGCTGTCATGTCTCATCACCGCTGCGGCATACACGTTGCACCATTTCCTTCGCAGCCTGAATCAAGGCGCGCCGATCCGCCGCGAGCGGGCAATTCAGGCCATTCCAACCGTGAGGTGGCAGCTGCGTCGCTCCTGGCGCCGCTGAGGTGAAGCGTTGAACTCATTCCGATCACCACGTGCGAAGAGCAGGAGGAGAAAGAAGTCGCCCCCTTGGAGGTAACACGCGTCAGCCCGGCTGCCATGAGACGCGCAGTCGTGAGATACCGAAGCCGAGGGCGCGGATGGGCAGCTTGCGGGAAGGAAGCGGCCATATTGCGCGAGTCGTTGCCAAGACACAGCCACAATGTCCGTTTCTGCATTTTGCCCATCATTCTACCTAAAGGATGCCGATTTCTCTTCCCCTGTCCAAGTCTACCACCCAACGTGTTCCTGGCACTCAGGCGCAGGCCAGCGCAGAGTTAGCCCCCCCCCGCCCCGCAGTATCGCACATCAGCGTAGAGTTCAACCTGCGCGGTCAGGAATCGACCATTGACCCCAGCAGACGTCGAAAGGCTCTGGATCATGAGAGGCGACCTCCGACGTGGGCGGGGGGGCCAGAGTCCGCGTCAGCGCTCGAGGATTTATTTCTGCGGTGCCAGTCCTTGTTCGCTTGCAGGATCGTCCGTGACAGGCGGTGGCTTCAGAAGAGGATTCGTGCGAACTTGCATCAGAAGCTCGGCACAGTCCACCCGCAAAGTGTAAGGATGGGCAACCTTCCCAAGGGTACCCTTGCAGCCTTGCCTCCTCGGCCCATCCTTGGCCACCTCCACTGGCCGCGCCCCGCCCGAATAGCTTCGAAATGGGCGCCCAAGGCCCTTGCATCCTTATCGCGCATCCTTATGAGACGGGCCGGCCGTGGATGCTCCCAGCCGCCCGCAGTCTCGCCGAACGAGGGCTGGGGAGCCTCGCGTGTGCCGCCGTCGTGCCGCCGCCTCGTGGAAGCTCCAGGGCAAAGGGCCCTCTTGGCTGCGGCGGCGGCGAAGACGCGGCGGGGGGGAAGTTGAGAAGCGGAGCTGGCTCGCCCTGGCAGGGGCGGAGGAGGAGGAAGCCGTGGAGGAGGCGAGGGAGGAGGAGGAGGAGGAGGAGGACGAGGGGAGGAGGAGGATAGAATCACACCATCTGGAACGAGGTAGCGTGGAGGTGATGGCGCACGAGGGGACGAGGAGCAGGAAGAGGAGGAGCAGGAGGAGAAGGAGGAGAAGGAGGAGTAGAGAGCTGCAGGCATCGACGACGGCGGAGCGGCCAGACGGCAGCAGAGAGGAGCTGCAGACCTGGCTCGCACTCTGGAGGTGGCGCGAGAAGACGTCCGGCTGGCACGCGAGAGGTCTCGAGGCGCAAGCGTGAGATGCAGAAGGCAGCCTTTTTGGTTTCTGAGGCTCATTTCGGATCTTCTGCTAGCTCTTCCTCCTCCTCCCCCTCCTCCTCCTCCTCCTCCTGGTCCCCATCCTCCTCCTCCTCCTCCTCCTCCTCCTCCTCCTCCTCCTCCTCCTCCTCGTCCTCCTGCTAGCCTCGCTCTGGTCGACCCCACTGGCACCAGCACGGGCGAAGCGGAGCCCCGCGGAGGGTGGCCCGGCTCGTCCACGAAGCCGTCGCCAGGTTCGGAGCGGGGGGGGGCCCGAGAAGGAGGCGTTCGAGCGGGCGCCCCCCCCCACCATCTTGGATCCGCAGGGTCAGGCCCGCGGACATGCCTGCAGTGCGGACACCCCCCCTTGGGGTTGCGAGGGGAATGCCGGGCTGGACGCGCCGAGCTGCTACTCGGCGCGAGTTGGGCAGCACGCGCGCCCACGACGCATCTCCCGGCGAGGTCATAAACGTCTCGCACGTCCTGAAGCGCCTGAACGGGTGCTGCAGCCTGAACCAGTTGACGAAGAGCATCAAGAGCTTCAAGGAAAGTACAGGACGGCGTTCACCGAGTTTGCCCAGTCCGTAGCACTTCGCCGCGAGAGGGGATGTAGAGTGAGGCGGCAATGGCGAAGTGGACATGTGGATAACAACAGGATGCGAGAGGGACGGATGAGGGAAGTGCAGGTAGCGAGTGGTGTAAGGTGGGATGCATGGACAGTGCTACGCCTGAATAAACCCAGGATCGCTTGGGAAATTGGCAGCGGAAATGCGATGGGAGAAAAGATCTGCAAAAAGAAGAGGCAAGGTACTAGCACCATTGCGTTTCAGCTGCGTTCTTCAGGGAGGAGGCAGACGGGGAGGAGAAGACAAGGAGGCACATTCACACCTGGCAACGAGTTCGTGGGCTTGGGAGAAGATGCTGGCGTGCTAGATTAATGAGTGTGCCCTCGTGGCATGAATTGCTTTGCGACCGCCCAAGCTTTCTCCACCTCGGGTATTTGATAGCATTCGGGCCAAGCCACCACCTGCTTGGGATGTGGGCCAGTTGCCTCTTAGACCTCTCTTGGAGGCCTCTTGCGGGGCTCTTGGGAGCCTCCTGGCAGTCTCCAAGGCCATCTTGGGGTGGAGGGCTCGAGGTGTCAGTTCCTGTTCCCCCTCTCGGGGTCATCTTCGGACTCGGCACATTTTGGGGCGTGAAAGCCGTCATCTGGCGATATTGTAGGCTTCCTGGGCCGTCTTGGCCTCATCTGAAGGCCGAGAATACCAGAAAGCGAAATTCAGTCAACAAATATTTGTGTATGCATACGTACACACATATATATACATACATCTATACATACATATATACATACATACATACATACATACATACATACATACATACATACATACATACATACATACATACATACATACATACATACATACATACATACATACATACATACATACATACATACATAATACATACATGCATCCATACGTACATACATACATACGCATGGGGGCGACTCCCAGGGCTGCCAAAACAGCCCAAGAGGCGCCCAAGAGGGTTCCAAGGCGGGCCTGGGGACCAGCTGAGGCCATGCTGGAAATACGAAATCCCAACCACACTCCTGAGGCCTTTGGTAAGTCACGCGAGCCGCCCGAGAGCGCCCGGAAGCGCCCAGGAACACCTTGAATTCCAGGGCCCAGGCCTTCGAAAGAGCAGTTACAAGATTCAGCACAATGAGTTCAAAGGGAGTCGAGGGCATTCCAATTCGCGTCTCGCGGCACGGTGGCGGATCGTGGGGTTTGTCTGCGCTTGAGCGCCGTACATGTTCGATTCCCTTTGTTGTCGTTTGTCGACGCTTGCTTACCATCCCCTCCCCAAGACGGCCTGCATGTCCTCGTCACGTTGCATCTGGTTGTTTGGCACCTCCAGCCTTGCTACCCTTTCTTTCACCCCATTGTTCCATCCCTCCCTCCCCCTTCTCTTCATATATAGAGGAGGGGGTGGAGGGACCCCGGTGAGACCAGGCCAGCGACCAGGCATCTAAGTTCTGGGGCCAGGCCTTGGGCCTTTAGGGCGACGAGTCATCGAGTAAAGTAGCAGGCAGGGATCGGCTGGAGGCTCAGAGCAAAGGGTCTGCCGCTTTCAGGGGGGCGAGGGGGCTGTCGTTCCGTCTCCGTCCTTGGAATGGTCGGGGGCGGCCAAGAGGGGGGTGATGACTAGGGGGAAGGCATATATCATGGCGTGGGCCATGATATTTCCTCAGATGTCATGGCGCCTCTTCGTATTTCACTACGTCCCTGGCCCCCCCTCCTTGGGCCGCGCACATGCCGCTGGCCATGATTTGCGCCCCCGCCTCTGGGACACCCCCCTCTTCGCCGACCCAGAAGTGGCGTGGGGCGTAGCGAGAGCTTCAAAAATTTACGGACGAAACTAGGCTGGCCGGATCACCGCCCGAAAATCGCGGCGCCAGACGCCGCCGTGGGGAGAGAGGGGGAGGGCGAAGCTCGAATGTCGCACGGCGGGGAGTTCGACGTCGTTCCGACCGTGCCAGTTCCCGGCGCCAGGCGCCGGGCAGCAGGGAGGACTCCCCACGCGGTGTCGCGGCGGCGCCCTGCGGGCTCGCACGCCTCGAGGCTCGCGCCCCTGCCGCGCGCCACCGCAGGCGTGACGCTGGAGGCGTTCCTGCGGGCGCACCCCAACAACTTCAAGCTGGAAGGGCGGATCGTCTTCCTCGTGGACCGCGACGGCCCGTGGGGGGGAGGGCGCTCAGCCGCCACGTGGCCCAGTCGGAAAGGCAGGGGGGAGCCCACCGTGGCGGAGCGCAGGGAGTTGGCCCCGACGCCAGGGTGGGGCGCCCTGGACCCCGGGGAGGGGCGACAGGGGTCCGAGGCGACGAGAGGGGCGGAAAGCGCGGGTGCTTGCATCCTCCTCCTCTTCATCCTCCTCCTCCTCCTCCTCCTCTTCCTCCTCCTCCTCCCCCTCCTCCCCCTCCTCCCCCTCCTCCACAATTTCTCAATATGAATACTACTCTCCCTCTTCCCCTGATGACGGCTTGGAAGTATTCGACCCCCCCCCCCGCGCATTGTTTTTTACACACAGGTTTCCCCGGAGTTGGGTTTTCGCTTGCATTTGTTTCCAAAATGCTGCTCTCGCTAAGGCGCCTGCCTCATTTTCGGGCCCCGCTCGTTCCGAATCGTGCTCCCGCTGCAGCGCTGGCCTCTTCCGCCGGCGCCCGGGCTGCACGCCCGAGCCGGCGCCCGGGCCGGCGCTCGGGCCGGGTCCGGAGCCGGTTCCGGCCGGCGCCGGAAAATCGAGTTCCGAGGCGGCGCCGAAAAAAGGCCATTCCAATACAATTTTTTCTTTAGAAAATGCTGAATTTCTGCTTCTGGCGCCCGGGGAGGCCTCCCGGGCCGATTCCGACGCCTGGGCCGGCGCCCGAGCCGGCGCTCGGGCCAGACGCCCGAGCTGGCGCCCGCGCCAGCGCCCGGGCCGGGTCCGGAGCCGGTTCCTTCCGGCGCTGGAAAATCGGGTTCCGAGACGGCGCCGAAAAAGGCCATTCCAATACACATTTTCCCGACCTAGGCTCTGCCTAGAAGTGTTCTTACTCTCTTAGCTTAAAGGGGCCGGGCAGTGCACAGCGCCCCGGGCGGTTCCCCCAGTCCCCGCCCCGCGGTTCCCCCCAGTCCCTTGGGAGCTTTAGCTTTAGCTTTAGCTTTAGCTTTAGTTTTAGCTTAGTTTTAGCTTAGCTTTAGCTTAGCTGTAGCTTAGCTTTAGCTTAGCCTTTCGCTTAGCTTTTCGCTTAGCGTTTAGCTTAGCTTTAGCTTAGCTTTAGCTTGAGCTTAGCTGTAGCTTAGCTGTAGCTTAGCTTTAGCTTAGCTTTAGCTTAGCGTTAGCTTAGCTTTAGCTTAGCTTTAGCTTAGCTTTAGCTTAGCTTTAGCTTATATGTAGCTTAGCTTTAGTTTAGCTGCTGCTCAACTTTAGCTTAGCTGTAGCTTAGCTTTAGCTTAGCTTTAGCTTAGCTTTATCTTAACTTTAGCTTAGCTTTAGCTTAGCTGTGGCTTAGCTGTAGCTTAGCTTTAGCTTAGCTTTAGCTTAGCTTTAGCTTAGCGTTACTGTTACTACTAATGCTGCTTTCCTAGGGGTTCCAACTCCTAGGAAGGGTCGCATTGGGATAATTTCTTTTGAAAATACTAAATTTCTGCTTCTCGCGCCCGGGAAGCCTCCCGGGCCGATTCCGGCGTGCTTCCGCTCGTTCCGAATCGTGTTCCCGCTGCAGCGTTGGCCTCATTGCCGCGCTTCCGCTCGTTTCGACTCGTGCTCCCGCTGCAGCGCCGGCGTCATTTCCCGTGCCATGCCACGGCATGCAATGCAATGCTAGGTTGATGATACGCTTCGCGGTGCTCTTCTACGTCATGCCATGCCGTCATGCTCTACAATGCATCGCGTACCCTTTCGGGATCATTGCCCTGCTCGACATCCGACTGTGCGAGTAGAGAGGGGATCTGCGCCATGGTGAGGGATGGGAGGGAGGGGTAGGATGTCAGATATGACGCGAGCGCACCTAGCTTGCCCTCCTCCCCCTCCTCCCCCTCCTCCTCCTCCCCCTCCCCCTCCCCCTCCTCCTCCTCGGGAGCCTCGCCGAAGGCATGGACCATGGGCGCCCCTGGATGCACGTCCACGCCGGCCGTTGGAAGTACGCATGTTTGGAAAGCCAGATCCCAATCTATTTCAAGCGCTTTCCTGCTTCAAGACTCGATGTGAGCTCGCTGTTTGTGTGATTCTCTGGGCGGGCCCGAGCCCGATCTGCTTGATCCGCCTCCCCACTTCATGTTTCCGCCTGCTGTTTCCGACCGGCGGGTCGGGGCTGTTCGTCCCCAGGGCCGCCCCCGAAGGAGTGGGGCTTGGGAAGGAGTGGGGCCCGATGATGGCGGCGCGCGGCCGGGCTCGGCTCCGCCGCTGGGCACGCTCCGCAGTCTGCATGGTCGTTCCAGGCAGGCGCCGGGTAGAACCAGCTGCGCGCAGTTTCGGTGGAGGAGGCCAAGTTCCAGCGCGGCAGCGCTCGGGGGTCTCGCGAGGCGCTTGTCGCAGCTGGCGTCTGAGGGATTTGGGGGGTGCCGGCATGCAGGGGAATGAGCTTGATCCGTCGGCGTGGCCCGCTCGGCACTCGCGCTGATAGGGCAGTCGGGAGCCTTGCGACGGGTGAGCAAACATGATACAGCCCCTAACCCCGAGAACACCAAGAAGGCGTGGCCTCACGCAGGTCCCCGTCGCTGCAACAGGGAGAATAGATCTGGGCGGCTTGGTTCGAGGCGTCTTCAAAAAAAGACCCCATGTCCCTGATGTTTTTGACCCTCCTAACGTGGGTCCCCTCCAAGAGGGTTACAAATACGCTTATCGCTTATCAGCGGGGTTCAATGCAAACGGAGGTCCGCCAGAGTGCCAGATCTTGCAGGATCCTGTAGAGCCAGGGGTGCCTTGACCAGGGCTTGCGCGCACGATCGCGCAGGATCTTGCAGGATTTGGCAGGATCATGCAAAGCCTGACTGACCCGGATTTGCACTGACCCGGGTCAGTAGATCCCCGACAGCTAGCCTTTCAACCACCACCCCCTTCGCTGAGCTCTGATCCTCAGGACGTGGGTGATCGAAGAACAACATTTCATACAGATAATTGATCGGAGGTCCGCGCGGAGTTCTTGAATCGGCGCCGGGGTCCCTCTTGGCGGCGCCCCCAGCGCCGCCCCTGGCGCGCTCCGCGCGCCAGGGAGGGGGGTGCAGCGCCGATCCAAGAAACCCGCGCGGACCTCCGAGAATGTGTGCGCATGTCATGCGTTATTCCTCTAGTGGCCGTGCCTCTTCACCCCTCCGCGGCCGCCCTGTCCGTCCTCTCCCTTCTCCTGCACGCTGGCCAATTCGCTTTTCGGTGCCCCCGTTCCGAGTGTGTGGTTACCCCTCTCAGCTCCACCGATTGCACGCAACATGTGCTAGCCCTCTCTCTCTCTCTCTCTTTCTACGCCGCCCGCGTCGTGCTGAAGTGCTTCGGTGAGCATGCACGCGTTGGCGCTAGCGCACGCTCTGCGGATCGTTTCTAAGCCGCCCTCTCGTCCTCCCCGACGGACGAGGAGAGAGACGGAGCTGAGCGCGAGCATAGGGGATGGAGGAGAAAGAGCACCCATCTTGGGGCTCCCAGGTGCGAACCCATGTTAGGTGCCTTCCTGTTTCAAAAATCGAACGAGTGTCCCTTTTCCCCATCCTCTGCAGGGAGCGGACGGAAGCCCAATCTACTTCCAACGCCTTCCTACTTCATGTTTCTACCCACTTCGTCCGACCGATGGGAAGGAAGGCGACAGGGGGTGACGTTTAGCATGTTCATCGTTCGGAGTCCGTTCCTTTTCTCGAGGAGAGCAGTTGTACCTGCCAAAGGCATGCGTCGAGCAAGCCCGCTATGAAGTGTGATGACATGGTGCGCAACGCGATTTTAGTCAGTGCGAAGCACCCTCTCTGGCCTAGTTCACTCGTGAACGAACCTGTCTGCGATGGCTCACTTGAGTATAAGACTGCGCACTGATCAGTAGGATGTCCCTGAATAACCCTTCCAGAGATCGTGGGTAGCAAATGTTTAAACGATTATTGGCCGCTTACACTCCCGTGGAGAGCAGAAAGATTCGGCGGGGCGGGCCCACGGTCGAATCGAATACATTTGCCCGATGAGTATGACACGCTTGGCGGGATCCCCGCTACGCAGCGATGAGAGCCATAGTCTTACCTTATTTGATGACCCTTGGCTTCGAGCTCGCCACCAGGGCTTGGGCGAGGAGGGGAGAAGGTGGGGGTGGGAGGGAGTAGGACTGCTCTATTCATTGTCAACCCCCGCCCCGCGCGTTCCCACAAGGCAACAAGTGGGAGCCGCCGATGGACGCCAGAAAGGGCGAGGTGGCGGTCGTGAAGGGAAAGGGCAAGGGCAAGGCCAAGGACGGCCGCTCGCTACTTCTCGCGGCCGACGCCCGGTGGGAGGGCGGAGTTTCTAGAGGCATTGCGGGTGGAAGGGTCGCCCTCGGCATGGCAATATTGGGCATCTGGAGCCCCCAGGGCTGCTCGGTGGCACACTGGGAACCGCCCCCCGAATTTGTGGCGAGATCTCCAGGGAGTGCGTTACAGAGCGACCCGTGGTCAAAAAGGGGTGGCCGCTTCTCGCACTGTGTTCAAGGCATGCCGTAATGGTCATAGTTCTGCATCGACAAGCTGTGGTCGGTCGCTGGGAGGGAGGATTCTCGTATCGACGATCGGATCGTCCTCGAGGAATGCCAACCGTGATGACATCCTGGAAGCATGTGGACACCGACCTTGAGCAGCTATAGGGATGTGAAAACGAAAGCATTGTATATAACAATCGCCAGCGATTGATGAATATGTGCGCTTGGGAAGTTCGGCCAAACAACTTAACCTTGTCCAGTTCCGAAGCTGCGATCGGAGCCACACAGGCAGCACACACACACACACACACACACACACACACACACACACGCGCACATACTTGACTTCACTCCCCTGAGTGAAAGCAGCTGAAGTATGAAAGTGTTAACGCATCGCGCACGAATCCACGACGAGTTGCCTTGACCAGAGAAGCATAGGAGCATGCAGTTCCGTGGCCACGTTGGCTCGAGCCGTTTTGGTTCAAGAGCCTTTGGCTCAAGCACATGGACATCGGGCGGAAGCCATGTGAGCGATGGAGCTTGCGGCGCACCAGGCAGCGGTCATCGGAGCAGCCCACGCCTGTGCCTCCGAGCCGCCTGCGGCGGGCTTCCGCGCTGGTCACGCGGAGGCTGCCCAGGACGACGAGCGCGTTGGCTTCGCCATCGGTGGAGCCGTGCCGACCGGCCCGCGCCGCTCGGAGTGGCACCACACGGCCCTGCTTGTGGTGGCCGACGTGGTCGGCACCGGCGTGCTGAGCCTGCCGGGCCACTTCGGGGCGCTGGGGTGGCTACCAGGCTTGCTGCTGCTGGCGGGCTGCGCGCTGCTCAATCTGTACACCGGCATGCTGCTCGTCCAGTGCAAGCTGTGGTACCCGCGCGTGCGCAGCCTGGGGGAGCTGGCTGCGGAGGTGGCGGGGCCAAGGATCGCGGCGTTGACTCATGGGGTCGTGTACGGCTACATCTTCCTCGGCTGCGGCAACTACCTGCTGGTGCTGTCGAAGTCGCTGCAGTCGATATGGCCCCAGCTCTGCCGCCCGCATGCCGGCGTCGCAGGCATGGCTTGCCTGTTCCTTCCCAACCACCTGCGCACGCTTACCGCGATCGCGCCACTCTCGGTCTTCTCGAACTTCACCATCGTCGTCGCCATCGCCATTTGCCTCGGGGCCGCGTCGCGCGGCGTGGCGCCGCCCGCAGCTGGCAGCAGTGCCCCCCTGGTCGCGCCTGCCCTGGCACCGTGGAGCGCCTTCTCCGCTCTCTCAGGGTCCATATTCGCCTTCTCGGGGCAGAAGATCTATTTGGAGATCATGTCCGAGATGCGCGACGTCGCTCGCTTTGCCCAGGCCCTGTGCGCCGCGATGGCATCGATCCTCGTGCTGTACGTGCTCGCCTGCGTCCGCACGTACGCGGTCTGGGGCCTCGACTCACCCGCGTACCTGCTGGACGTGCTGCGCGGGGGCGAAAAGAAGGTTGCGGGGATGCTGATGTTCTTGCACGTCCTCATCTCGTTCACGATCAGCCAGCAGGTCCTCAACCGGGCGATCCACGACAGGATCGCGCCGGGGCAGCCCAAGGCCCTCGCGGACCCCGAGGGCACGAGGTCGCGCCTGCTGTGGTCGCTGCTCACGACCACGACCATGCTCTGCGCCTGGGCCGTGGCCAACCTGGTGCCCTTCTTCGCAGATTTTGTCGACCTGGTCGGCGCGCTGGCCTCCGCGCCCCTGAGCTTCCTGCTCCCCGCGGCACTCTTCGCGGCAGCGCACCGGCGCCGGAGCGGCAGGGTGGGGCTGGGCCGCCGCGACGCGCTGCTCGTGCCCGTCTGCTGCCTTGTCACCGTGCTCATCATGGTCTTCGGCACGGCCTCCAGTGCGGGGAGCCTGCAGGCCCACTTCCACGACCGCGGGGCACCGTTCTCCTGCCTCGCGGAGCAGCCCGGGGAAGAAAGGGCGGCACGGGAGCATCCCTCTCCTAAAAGGGGGCCCGGGGGCACACAAAGAAGCAGGCACAAGTCCAAGGATTCCCCATCTTTTCCCGCGTTTCCTGGGTGTTCGCCTTCCCCCCCACACTTCCCATGCTTCCCCATATGTTCCTGGGAGTCGACGATGAAGTGTATGTGAGTGTGTGTGTGTTCCCCTCCTCAGTTCGGGGCTCCTCGGGGATTTATTGGGTCTGCGCCGGGGCGCCTTGGCAGCGCCTCCGGCGGGGTTCAGCGCAGAGCCGCGAAGTCCGCGCGGACCTCCGAGGGTTTGTGTCTGTGCAGCTGGTCCTCCTCCCAAGCAGCCGTGGAGCTCCTGGCGCAGGGAAAAAAACGTGCAGGAGAATGCAGCGGAACTCACGGGGTGGGGCAGCCTTCAGGTCGAAGCTCGGGATCAGACCGAAGCTCGGGATCAGCCTGGGCATGCCCGCTGGTCAACCATGAAGGCTGTCGCGGATCTGTCGCCTTGGGAGTTCATTGGAGATTATTGGGGTCATCTCGGGGCCGTTTGGGCTGCATTTGGGGCGGTTTGGGGGCCATCGTGGCAAACGCGAATCAAAAAAACGGCCGGCGTCAATTAGAGTATCCCCGTCGGAGCCTGGAAAATAATTTATTCAAAACCTTTCGGGGCGTTCTTGGGGCGTGAGGCGTTATCGGTACCCTTTGGGCCCTTCCTGGGAGTCTGTTGGGCAATATTGGAGCCGTCCTGGGGCACCAGAACCCCAGCGGATACGAGAAGGCGAGAGACACAAACATCGTTGAGAGACATTAAGGTTTGGAATAGCTTTTTCTAGGCGGCATCGCTCGGTTGCACGAAAGAGGGAAAATCAGCCTCCCAGGGGGGGCGCACCTCCCCCTCATTTCGGTTGGGAGGGGGAGGGGGGGAGACCCCCCCACATTTCGAACTGGGGGGGAGGGGAGAGGGGCGAACCAGAGGGGGGAGGAGCCCCCCCCCCTCGGTTGGGACCGGGGGGGCCTTCTCACTTGCCAGAACTCGTACCTGACCAGGAGGCGGAAGGGCAAATTGTCCGTGTTATGCCGGGCAGCCTCGCCCGCTTCGTTGACAACAGGCTCAGAAAAAGGTCAAACAAAGCCCAAACAGAGTTCAAGCAAAGTTCAAACTAAGCTCAAACAAAGTTCAGACAAAGCTCAAAGACAGCGCTTCAACAAAGCCCCAACAAAGCTCAAGTGCCAACGAAGCTCAAACAAAGCTCAAACACAGCCCCCAAAACTCAAACAAAGCTCAAACAAAGTTCGAAACAAACTCAAACACTTTTCGAACAAAAACTCAATCAAAGCGAAAAGAGAGCGCAAGCAAAGCGCAAACAAAGCCGCAGCAAAGCTCAAACTAAGGTCGAACAAAGGTTCAACAAATCTCAAACACAGCTCAAACAGAACTCGAACCAGGCTCAATCAAAGCTCAAGCAATGTTCCAACACAGTTCGCATTATGCTCTGACACAGCTCAAACACGGCTCAACCAAAACTCAAACAGACCTCACGCATAGTCCAAACAAAGTTCAATGTAAGTTCAAGCAAAGGTAAAACAAAGTGCAAGCAAAGCTCAAACGAAGTTCAAACAAAGCTCCAATCAAGTTCAAGCAGAGTGCAAGCAAAGCTCAAACAAAGCTCAAACACAGCTCAAACAAAGCTCAAACCAAGCTCAAATCAAACAAAGCTCAAGCAAAGCTCCAGCAAAGCTCAAAATCAGTTCGAAATCAGGGCGTGGAGGGGATCGTCTCCCCCCCTCCCTCAGGTTCGGGGGGAGGGGGAGTCTGGACCCCCACCCACCCCCAGGTTCGAAGGTTCGAACCGAGGGGGGAGGGTTCTGTGCCCCTAATCCCCTCCCCCCAGCCCCGCCCCCCCCCCCCAGCCCCCCCCCCGGGTCGAACGAGGGGTCAGGGTTTTGTGGTCACCCTCCCCCCCTCCCCTCCCTCTCTGATTCCAGGCAGGGGAGGGGGTGCCCCCTGCCCCCGCGTAGGGGAGGGGGGAAGTCGTTCCCCCCTCCCCCCCGTTTCCTAGAGGGGAGTGGGGGGGGGAATTGCTCCAGTCAAGCGACGGTAGATCGCGCTCTCTTGGATCTTCCGCCGACAACCTCGGGCAGTCGCGTGGTAGTTTGAGGCCCTATCGGAGGCATGCTGAAGGCTGGTTTGGGCCATCTTGGGCAACATTGCTCCATCTTGGAGGCCACCTTGGGTTAGGAGCCATCTTGAGCCATCTTGGACGCTCTAACTGGTCGCGGCCTTCCCCATCTAGACCCCGAGGGGGGGGGGGGGGGGAGATGGGGGGATCCCGAAACCCCCTACGCCCAGAGGGCTGGTGGGATTACCCGTGAATTTCGGAGGTCTCGCATGCAGCCCAAGCGGGCCCTTCAAGCAGCCTAGCGCATGGGGGGCAGCGCACCTCATTTGTTGCGCATCGTTCTCTTCCGCCACCAGTGTGAAGCACGCCTGGGGGAAAGCCGAGCATCTGTTTGGGGGAAAGCGCTCGTCACCCTGGTGAGGCGGCTCTTGGCTCACCCTGCGCCCGCCTCGTGGGAGGTGGGGGTCGAATTTTGCGTTTAGGGGCTGCCCATGGCTCGGGCCCGTGAGCCCGGCCCCGATGTCGGCGCTGCGCCGACCGATCGCTTCGGTATTGCAGGTTGTGCGGGCTGCGCCTGGCAACAGACGGACGGTGTTGTGCCGTCTGCCTCGCGTGCGGGCATTGCACCCACAGCGCAATGGAGGAGGAGGAGGAGGAGGAGGAGGAGGAGGAGGAGGAGTTGCCTCCGTCCCAGTCATGTCGACGGACGTGTTTATTGCAGGTTGTGTGGGTTGCGCTTGGCAACAGACGGACGGTGTTGTTCCGTCTTCAGGCGATCGCAAACATGGATTAAGGGGGCGTGGATTAGCGCCGGGTCCCGTTTCCATATGCATCGCTGATTCCCGCCGCCGATCGAGGCGGCGCCGGCCGCATTTTGGGGAGGGCACCTCCCCCGATCCATGGATTAGGCGACCGCGCGCCAAATCCATGGATCGCTAATCCATGTTCGCGCCCCCGACGTCTGCCTCGCGAGCGGGCATTGCACCCACAGCGCAATGGTTTTATTGGTGTCGCTGAGACTCTGCGGCAAAGAGGAGGTGCCTCCGTCCCAGTCATGCAGTGCGTCTGGCAGCAGCGCTCGCAGCACGTCTCGCCAACCAGTCCCGAGACGAGATCGTCCTCCCAGTCTCTCTGTGCATCTTCCTCGCAGATATCCTCCGCTTGCTTTCGGGAAACCAGGTGTGTGCCACCTCGCTCGAGCCCGCACCTTCCGAGAGGAGGGCAGCATGTGGGGATTTATCGCGATCGCCCCCGCGGCCAGCAATAGCCTAATACCCGACGATGGAAGCGGACCTCGTGAGCAGACCACGCCGAACCGAGCAAGTCCCCGTCTCCGGTCTCGTCATCTGTCTCGCCCGTGTTCATCATACCCTTCTCGCCTTCCCTGTCTTCCTCATCCCCCCTCCCTGTCCCATCCACTCTCATTCCTTCTCCCACTCGCAGCCTTGCTTGCGCATCATTGCAGGGCCTCAATCGAGCTTAGCTTTCTCTGATCGTCGTTTTCCTCCAGGTGCTGTCAAGATCCCACGTGCCATTGCAAGCCGACCTGCCAGGCGGACTCGGCTCCGACCAAGATCAAGGGGGAGCCCGCGAAGGGCAAGGGGGAGACCGCGAAGGGCAAGGGGGAGCCCGCGAAGGGCAAGGGGGAGTCCACGAAGGGCAAGGGGGAGTCCGCGAAGGGCAAGGGCAAGGCTCGCTGGCGGGGGGAACAGGAGCGGCAGGAAAGGAAGATCGAGGCGGCGGCGGCTCCAGAGGGGACGGGGAGAGGAGCGATTGGAGGTTTGGAAAACACAGGATGGAGAGGAGAAAGGGGGACGGCCACCTTGATGAAACATACTCTTATGATTTATTGATTATCCCCGGGGCGTCTTGGAGCCATCTTGGGCCGCCTTGACACCTTTGAGAGTCGTCTCGAGGCCCTCACCGGCTTTCAAGAAGCTAAGCAAGCCAAAACCATTGATTGCTAGGTTTCTGTACGTTTGTGAGCCCCAGAAGGGTGGTCGACGGATTGGGCGTGACTCCGATGGGCGGGTTAGGGAGGTTACAGAATGTTAGCCAGTGTGGACCCCAAACAGTGATATTTTCCGACGAAGGCATCTATACACCACCACCGTGTCAGGCCAGGGCCATCCTGGGCCCCAGGATGGTGTATAGACCCTCCTGGCCTCGGCCAGGAGGGCGTATACACTATGCCAGGGCCAGGATGGCCCTGGCATGGCACGGTGGTGGTGTATAGATGCCTTCAGCGTATATTTTGCAGCCGACGCATTGCAATCTAGATGGTGCAAGCAATACAGTGCAATCTAGGTGCTGCAACCCATGCGGCGCAATCTATGTGGCGCAAAGCACTGTAACGCGATGCAAAGCAATGCAAATCAATGCAAGGCAGTTCAAAGCAATGCAGCGCAGTGCAAAGAAGTGCACAGCAATGCCACGCGATGCAGAGCTACGCAAAGCGAGACCCGGCGGCGACTGCGGCGACGGGCGGCAACGAGCCGAACCAGCGCCGGGCCCCGCGGCGGTGGCGGCGACGGGCAGCGACGGGCGGCAGTGAGCCGGCCACACAGGCACCAGAGCTCAGTTACTGTACAGTCGGGGCGTTGACCTAAGGAACCCTAAATAAGGAACGAGGCCCCTCTTTTCCATAAACTAAACTTCGATTTCCTATCGAAAACATAAGGAAAACCTGAGGCAAGCTGTGAAACACTTAAGGAACGCGGAGCCCCTCCCCAACGAAAAAGGTTCCTTCTTCAGGGCCCCGACTGTAGGAGCGAAGTGAGAACCTCTAAGTGCAAGCACTGCCTGGGGAATAACAGAACATGATGCAACGTAAGGTGGTACCTATGCGTATGTATCGACGACGCCTGCGGCGAATCACCGCCGCCCCCTGCCTTTCTGGAAGCGCCTATGTGGCCGAACGTTGAGGCCAGACCTGCCAAGCTATCGGACCATGTGTTCCCCGAATCGGTTTGGAAAGCCTTCGGGGAACACGTGGGCATCTTGAAGGTCATCTTGGCCGTCTGGAGGCCATTTTGACCCTTTCGGGCCTTCTTGGAGGACGTCTTGGAGGGCTCTTCGGCCGTCTTGGAGGTCATCTTGAGCGTTTTGGAGGCCTCTTGGGCGGCCGAAAAAAAATAAATGCCAAAATCCTTCAAAAACTCTAGGGAAATCAATGATTTTGGCCTTTTCGGGCCTTCCTGGAGGCCCTCTTGAAGGCCTCTTGGGCCGTCCTGGGCCATCTTAAGGCCATCTTCGACCGTCTTGGTGGGCTCCTGGCACGTCTGACGCCGTCGGGAGCTGTCTTGGGGGCCTCTCTTGGCCGACTTGGGGCCCTCTTGGGGCGCTTCGGGGCCGTCTGAGAGGCCATCTTGGGCGTCTTGGATGCCTCTTGGCCCTCTTGGGGCCGTCTTGGGGGCCTCTTGGGCCGTCATGGGGCAATTTTGGAGGCCTCTTGGGCGATCTCGGGGCGACCTTGGGGGCCTCTTGGGCCGTTTTGGGCCGTCGGAAAGCCGAAAAGGCGCAAATGCCAAAATCCATCAAAAACCAAAGGAAAATCAATGATTTTGACCTCTTCGGAGCTTCCTGGAGGACCTCTTGGAGGCCTCTTGGGCCGTCTTGGAGGCCTCTTGGGAGCCTCTTGAGCCGTTTTGGGCCATCTTGAGGCCATCTTAGGGCGTCTTGGGGTGCACCTTGGGCCGTCTTGGAGGCATCTTGGGGCCATCTTAGCCGTCTTGGAGGCCATCTTGGCCCTCTTGGAGGCGTCTTGGAGGCCATCGTGGACAACCTTGGGGACCGTCTGGAAGGGAAAAAACCTTTGCAACCGGGTCCAGGCAAATTTTCGGCATCCTTCGGGGTGGCCAGCAGGACGCGCCGGAGCCCCAGGGGGAGTTTTTCTGGAAAAAGAACCAATACCAAAACCCATATTGTTTGGCACGCCAGGCACCCCTTTGATAAATCAAAAGGGGGCGGCGGATCCAGCTGCCTACAACAAGTCCCGCCACCGTGCATAGGTTGTGGGTATGAAGCCCATGTTCGTTGGGATCTCGTGGGAGGCCTCTCCGGGGCCTCGTGGGGACAGTTGTGATGCCTTTGGGGGGCCGTTTTGGAGCCTCTTACGGCCTCTTTTGGGCCTCTTGGGGGCCACTTGGGGTATCTTGGGCGCCTCTGGGGGACTCCTGGGTCCTCTTGAGGCATAAGGCTCAGATTTTCGGTTTGTGTTCCTTCTCTCGGGCCCCGTCTTGGGGCCCTCTAGGACCGTCTTGGGCGCCGCTTGGGCCGCCTTCGGGCGCTCTCAGGCCGTCTTGGGCCCTCATGGAGGCATCTTGGGCCGTTTTGATATGGCTTTCGGGGCCTCTTGGGCCGTCTTGGAGTGGTGAAAAGCCGAAAAGGCGAGAACGCTCAAAACGCCAAACACATAACGAAAACAAATGAGTTATACCTCTTGTGGCCCTCTTGAGAGGCCTCTTGGGGCGTGTTGGAAGCCACTTGGGCCATCTGGAGGGCATTTTGGGCGTCTTCGAGCGATCGCTCGGCGATTCGGGGCCCTCTTGGACTGTCGCGAGGGCCTCCTGAGCCGTCATGGAAGCCTTGGAGAGCCCCAGGGAGGCGCCATGGCCGCCCAGGGACCCCCCAGGAGTAGGTGTGGTGCAGATGGCGACTCTAAAACGAGCTGAGGGACGTAAGGAGTGGAAGCGAGCGTGCGCCCGCGGCCGCGTCGGCTCAAGCGGCCGGCCGCCCAAATTTGACTGCGCCTGATTGCGAGGCACACAATCGTCATCGAGACCAAAACGATGTTCCTATTGCTTGAGATGGCATCTCCTCTCATACTGGGACTATCGTTACTACGAGACAACAGAGCTCGAGCTGGGCTTCGCCTGAGGCGAAGCTGTTGGCTGGGCCTTCCAGCCCCTTTTCAGACTTGGTAGCGGAACTGGCCTATGGTGGTCAGCTCTAGCACTACTCCTCACCATCCACGGCACTATCTGGTGGACTACAGATACGGTGAAACATCAGGGTGCAGTTGGATTGCGCGGAGGAACGTACACAGTTACGCAGTACCGCAAGGAAGCTTGCAGCGATACCTCTGTCCAATCGGAGGTCTCTTTCTCACATTTCACATCCCTGCGCTATTACACTCCTGAAGTCCACCCACCTACTCCACTTGGAAATTTCTTCGACGACCTAATGCATGGAAACATGCGATACGATACACTGCCGCCTCCGACCCACGCAGACCTACGACGACAAAACATAAGTCCCCACAGGCTACATCCGACTACGACCTACGAGACCACTGGATTGGGGTTACTATTTTTGGCCTCATATAGGTCGCTATTGGGTGTGCGGTAGGACATATGCGGGGCGGAGACGACACCAGAACGACTGGCCCCCATTGGGACCCTGCTGGTCAAGTACCATTT